AAAATGAGACAATATCATTAAACATGCTAAGAAATCTATGAGTTCATTTTGCCATTAAATGAAAACTATAACTGAAAGAGATGAAGGCACAAAACAAAACCCAAAATATAAGTAAATAAGAGAAACAAAACCTTATGCCTTTTCTATACAGGCTGCACTTCAGAGTAACCAAAAAGTTAATGAAGCAACGTTTCTCTTTCTAGAATCCCAGGTTGTAATGACAAAAGGAGTAAGAATTAGAATGCACTGTTTGGAAACGCCTAGTGAAATAATCACTCTGGGCAAAGACCTTCAAAGGACACTATCTATTAGATTATAGAAAACTTTTGTAAGAGTCCGGTCAAGTTGATAGCACTGAAACAGTGTAAATCTTGTTACAAAAAGAAACAGCCAGACACTGCATGTTCTGTAATGTATCCAAAAAGGGCAGCACCACTTGAGAATTGTTCTTAAAAACTCTACTGGAATTTTAGCATTTTAATTAAGTCAATGATTATAGCCTTTAAAAAAAATCTAAGAAATAATCAAAGGCAACCTATAAATGTAAATTTTAATAGAATAAGAATGCATTTCTATGATATACTTTTCTTGGAACTCTTATAAACATAACTGTATGAGGCCAAAAGTGTTTAAAACAAGGTAGTAGGTGGTAATGATGGCTCAGTGGGTGCAGGCTGCTTGCTACCAAGTCTGGTGGTTTGAGATTGGTATCTGGAAACCACAGGAGGAAAGAAAGAACTGACTCCTGCAGGTTGTCCTTTGATCTCCACACATGTGCTGTGCCACATGAGTGCCCATACGCAGGCACGCGCGTACACACACACACACACACACACACACACACACACACACACGTATATATAGCATTAAAATTTTTAATTTCTTTTACTCATCTATTTGTATGTATTATACAGGTATGTACATGCTACAGTGTGCCTCTGGCAAACTCTGCTAGGAGGTCTCTCTGAATGGTTTCTTTCTCTCTTTGGATTCTTGCCCACTCCATGACAAGACGTAGGATGAAAAACTAAAAGAAAGCTGTGTTTGCCAAGCTGAGGTCATTCTGCATCAGCTAGTACTCACTCAACTTGTCAGCTGACTGGATCGATGACTGAACCCGGCAATGATTAGCCAAGCCAAACCAGCTTAGCAAAACTATTGGGCCACAGCTTTAGGAGTAGACACACATGACTGATGCAGTGCTACTGTAAGGTCTGTGCTTGTTCTTAGCTGTTTATAGCTGCAGTACCACAGTAATAAATAAAAAAATAAAGAAACCAATAACTAGGATTGTTACTTAACAAAAATTTAAAGCATAATAACTTCATGGACAATCTAAATTATAAGAGGCAGAACAATAAAGGAGAAACTACAGAAGATGAGAAAATGGTAACTCACAGTGTGAAATGATAAAATATGCTATCTATAATAACTTAAAATGAAATCCCTTCAGAAACTTTTGGACATGAAAAAGCAATCCTGAACAGTTGCTACTAGCTAAGCACTGCAGGATGGAAAAGGAGAGAAAAAGCTGAAGAAAGAGTCAGTCTACATCAGGCTTTCAGAACTACAGAGGGACTAGGACTTGGAAGTTGGAAAATAAAAAAAATGTCTTTGCTTCTGGTCTCCTAAAAGATATGCAATATAAGATGAATCAAAGATTATATCAAGGATGCTGATAAACAGTTTTCTTCCTTCACACTTAACCAAAGGATGAAGGTAGGTTGTAAAGTAGGCATCCTTTGATTGACAAAATGCTTTTTAGGAAGTTTAAAGGCATGAGCTCACAGAACTCTGATCCCCAAGTGGTGGTAGTGATTATATGTAGATTTACAAACATGTTTCAAAAACAATTACAGGTATGGACTTTTAAAGTATGGACTAGTTAGCCCATGGCCATATCAAGCATACAGAATGCCTATAAAATATGAGACCAAAAAGCCAGCAGCTAAGTTCTGTAACTTTCTAAACCAACAGACTGCAATGGAAGAAACGATATGCAAATTCAAGGGGCTTGTAACTTCTGTATATTTTTTTTTGACTTCTGCTGTGAGAACTAAATCAGGCTAACCTACTGGTGAATGAGAACAGAGTGGAGCAGAGAAAAGCAGAGCAGGTGATTTTCATCTTTTTAATAAGATGGTAAAGACAAGCTAAATCCTCTCAAAAACAAACTAAAGCTACGACATCTCTTCCTGTACTTATGTAGTTATTGATCACCTGCCACCATGAGAACCACCTAGCCCAAGACATGGTGGCAGAGGATATGATCTAAATTCTACAGAAAGATACTTAGTCATGAATCACTTCCCACTACTACACCACCCTGCTCCACCCCTCCCTTTTCCCTTGCCCAAGTTGTCATTAGGAAGCAGGTTGAACTTAGCAAGCAGGCTGAGCTTGAAGCACATCTCCAAAGAAAAGATACAAAAGACTTCCCGCCCTACATCTGCCAAAAGAAGGGACATAAGGACAAAGAACTCCATGTCCCTGAAAAGGTGGTAATCTTAAACCTACATTCCAAAAAACCTAAGAGCTTTTCTTCAAAAAATGAGGGACCTTTAAGAACATTTAACCACTGTCCCCTAGGGCCTCAATAAAAAATGGACTCCTAACAGAGAATGAAGGAACCAGAAATCTGCAGCCCAGTGGCCTTCTCCCTAGGAAAAGGATCTGTTAGTCAAATTGTCTTACAATATCTACGTATATTCTGAACTCTGTCTCATGTACCATAGGAACAGTAGAAGTAGTTGTTTTTTTTCTTCTCTCTTCTTGTTTGGCTAGACTAGAAATAGATCCAGTTACTTTTGCCAGGTTTTGCTACCTTGTTTCTTCTGGAATATGAAGAAGTGAGTCAGCAGGCTGTGGACGCGAGCACTGTACAGCACAGCATGCTGCACAGCCTTCAGAGTTACACTGAGAGCTACTGCAGATGACTCGCTGTGCGAATTCCTTTTTGTCTTTGAAAAGTGTTTCCCGTGTAGTGCAGGCTAGCCTGAAACATTCATATAATCCAGGCTAGCCTAACACTCATTTTTCTTTGTGCGTCTTTCCCAAGCGCTAGAACTTATACACATGAACCACCATAGATAGTACACTGCAATCATAAATTTTGTTATGTGTGGTGGTTTGAATGAGGATGGGCTCCATGGGTCTGTATGCTTGAAATCTTAGTCCCCAGTTGGTGGAACTGTTTAGAAAGGGTTAGGAGATGAGGCCTTGGTGGAAGAGGTACATCACTAGAGAGGGCTTTGAGGTTTCAAAACACTGGGGCCAATTCCCAGAATGTGTATTCTCACTCTCTTTACCTCCAACCTGAGGATCAAGATATTAAATGCTCAGCTGTTTCTGCTGCCATGCCTCTATTCCATCACCACAGACTATAATTTTCTGAAACTATAAAGCCCATATTAAATGGTTTCGTTTATAAGTAGCCTTAGCAATGGTGTTTTATCACAGCAATAGAAAAAATAACTAAGATGCTACATTAACAAAGTACTTGTAGTAATAATAATTCTATTCTCACTTGGAAATGACTCACCCTAAATCCATGGTCTCAACTCATCTCCAGACACTAAAGGCTATCAAAAATAAAGCTTTGCCTTTCCTTATGACCTTCTCTTCTAGAACTCTAAAAAATATCGAATTTCCTAAATACCCTTAAAGAAATGACATATTTCTTGGTGGTACATACCCATAATAATCCCAGAACTTGGAAGACATAGCAAAAAGAATTGTCATGAGTTTAATGCAGCCAGAGCTATGTAGCAAGATATAATAATGATGATGATGACGACGATGTTCATATTTCCAAGACTTGGCTTAAGTTGCTTTCCTATTAAAAGAATCTTTCACTTTATCCTTTGCCTATTTAAGTCTTATCTGAATTTTAGTTTTATCTCTCTGAGGTAAGACAGAGATGAAAAAGGGACACAAGGGAGGAAGAAGTCCTCAACCTTATGCTCTAGTTTGCTTTTCCTGCTGGAAAGTTAAGAAACTTCAGCATAAAGCCAAAATTGACTACAGATAATGACTGTTTTTCTAAAGACCATTCAAACAAGGATCTGCTGAACACAAATGGGCTGGATAGCTCTCTTGCTGAGGACCCAAGTTCAGTTCCCAGCTCTCCTGTCAGGTTTACTTTTTGTTATCTTAAAGAATTTTCTTTTGTAAATGAAAATTTAAGGTGATTTTTGAGGTGCATTGTTTAGGTTTAGTAGCGAGAAAGAAGTAAACCAGCTCATATAGTCTTCTTTAATTTTTAATTTAAGTTTTAAGATGTGCTGAATCTTTAAAACTTATTGTCAATTACACACTTTGCACATACCACGGAGGCAGAGAATCATATAGACAAGATCGTACTGGCACTGAAATGAGACTTAATTCTTGAGAAGTTCACATCGGTGTCTTGGGTAGGAACTGTGCTTTTCCTAAACAATTCTCTTTCTTTGTTTCTCTTAAATGCTGACTCTTGAGAGCACATTATCCTTTGTCTTGGTAAGCTAACTGCTTTACCCTGGCTCACTGTGAATTACTTTTCCTTAGAGCATCAAAGATACAGCTTTCTCTGAATAGAGATCGCTAAGTGGGGAAGGAAATGCCTCAGGCTTCACACAGTGTTGGGCTGTGTTTTCCTATTGCTGCTAATATCACTGTAATGACTAATAGACAAATCCAGAAAAATGTCCTGCTTGATTTCTATACTTTCTTATACCTTCTGAAGCTTCATTATGCATGCTTTGCATATCTACTTAGCTGTTTCTATTCCTCCATATATGCTTTTAAACAGTAAAAATGAGACAGGACATCTTCAATAAAGCACCCCTTAATGATCAATATAAATTCACAAATACATATTAAATATATTCAGCATTATCACTAAATCCATGAACATAATCCCCAAATATCTACTTAAATGAAATTACTTAGACTCTAATAACCTGAATACAGCTTATACTTAAATAAAATCTGTAATTAAATTCTTATTATAAAATGCATACCCTCTTTGGAATAAATCCACGTTGTAGAACTTGTTTAGCTCCACGGAGAATTCTACCATTGCTTGAACTTCAGTCATGTTTAATTTATACCCAGAGGACAGATTTGGCAACAGCACCTTAGTTAAAAAGGGGGAGGGGTCATGAGAAGCACAACAAAAATGTCAATTTATAAGCCTAACTAAGCTTAATCCAACTAAATAATACCAGAGTCCAAAGACGCCAAAGAGCAGTACTATTTTTATCACTTAAGACTGGTTGATTATGAAGCTTTTCCAACATTGGTTTCCCTGATGACATCCATGTGATAATCTATGAATGGATTTTTTTGTTAAGAAAATATTGCTTAAAGAACAAAGTACTTTTGAATTTAGAAAAGAAATTTCCCCGTCATTATAAAAGGCTAAAAGCATTCATTTTCACAGAAGTTAAAACAAAAGGTACACAAGCTAGTGAAAATGAAAACATTCACATATCCACTGAGATATACACTCACGAGTACATGACTACAACTTTTATAAAACTGGTGTCAGCGGCATGCATATTTTCTAATCTGCGCATTTCACATAATTTTCTGATGAACATTTAAACCAGTAAGTGCATAAATAACATTACTTTAATGTGACTATAATACCGTGAGCGTGTCACAGTCTACACAGCCACCTTGTGCTGGTGCTCCAGTGGCTTCCATCTCCACTATCGGAAAATGACAGACACCCTTACCAAGAGCACAGGCCTTCAAAAGCAATTTAGAGAAAAAAAGTGCTCGGGGACAACTCTCCACAGGTCCCAGCAGAGACCCTACAGTCTTTCCTCTAGGTTCTCTATTCTGCGACATTTGCATACAGTTCTAAACATCACAGACAGGGTCTCACTTTAGAAAACAGCCGATCTGCAGACTATTCTACACAGTAAAGTCTTCCAAAGCAGAAAACAGGTAGGCCCACTGTCCACTATCAACGTTTCCAGACCGTCTAGCTCAGGGATCCTCTTCTATAATTTATTCCTGTGTAGCTGTCACCTGGCACACTAGCTCGAACGCTCTGAGTACAAACCATTTTTCTCTCTGACTGGTGAGTCTAGTGTCTTCTCTCAACCCTAAGGCACCATGGCAAGCAACTCATTAGCATGCAAGCATAGTAAAATCTCCAAGTTTCACAGCTCTTGAAAACGTACTTCCTTGAAATTCTGCAAATATTCTAACTTATAATGAATTACAAACAAAAGAAATGACATATGCTTACCTCTGCTGATCAAATCTTCATTTTACATTATTAAATAACCAATCTTGTACTTCCAGTTACTGATTCTTGTTGTTAAAAATATATTGTTTCCCCTAGGAGGAAGAAGCAATAAAATCTCAAATAAAATTAGAGATACAAAATCTGTTTTAAAGATACCTATATATCTTTATGTATTACTTAACATTCACAATTTACACACAGGACCTACATCCTCCTCAAGGCTTGGGAATACATTATGACTTCATCACTATTATGCGTTTCTATTAAGGATTCACATATATAGACTGCACAGTGCAATATGGGGTACTTTCTTAGTTCAGTGGTTCAGAAACACTTCTCAATGAATACCTAAAACACTGGAAGCTTATCAATAATTTTTAAGATGTAGAATTTCTCATTTATAAAAATAAAGTAGTGATTTTTGAAATTTCACGCATATACATGCATGTATCTCATACTGACACATATGCATAAAATATAGTATTTAAAATAATGACAAAAGGTTGCCTGACTATGCTGTAGTTTTCCTTACATTTCAAATATTTAGATGAAAAAGTCTGCCTTTAACATAATTGTGTTCCAAAAAAATTAAAATGATCATGTTCATTCTTCACTTTTTCTTTTGTCATGAGGGTGTAGAATGTGCCAAGTACTAAGGCTGCTACTTTAGTAATCTCGCCAACAATAATAAAGATTAATATAGATCAAATCAATGTATCTTTAGATAAGAGCCCCCCCCATTACACAGAAGTAAGTGCAGGTCAGTTCTGGATCCTGATGGACTCAGTAATCATAAGAAAAGGTATAAGCACATACAGTATAGTAGAAAGGTAACAATAAGGTTTTGAGATTTCACGCCCCAGATGTTGCCTCCCTCAGATCTTCATCCACTTTAAGGTACACAGCATCCACCTCACATAAACCAGTAGTAGCCCATTACATGGGCCAGAGATAAACTTAGATCTCTTCTAAGCTCCTTTCATTTGGGATCTCTGCTACAATAACTGGGCATTTCTTATATACAGAATTTAATATGAGAAGGGTACAGCTATAATAGAACCCTAAAATATATGAATCAATAATTACCAGAGGTAGGGTACAGTCGCAACAAAATCCTAAGATAGCTGGTTTTAGTTCAGTAATTACAGGCAACAAGGAAACATACTACTAAAATACTGATAAGTTCCCTTACATAGTGCAAAAACAACTTGCAAAAATATCTACAATAACTTCCAAGACCAGGTGTCCATCTATGTCCAGAGCCCCAGAAAAGTAGCTGAACCACACTGGTTGTGTGTGGGTGGTTCTTTGCTGTTTACTTTGCCTGATTTGTGAGTCAAGATGGAAGGAAATGAAGGGGCAGAAACTCGGGCCTTGCAAACAAATATTCCAATATCCTAAAACAGGGTATGTACCTTTCTCAAAGGAATTCTAAAAATTGTTGACATAACAAGTTAAGATTGGGTTAAAGGTGTTGCTGACAAGCGCCTGTTATTATAACAGTTTAAAGACAATGGCCACTAAAATGAGAGACAAAGATGAAGATAAAGATAAAAATAAGGCTATTAAAATGTAGTAGGTATACAAAGAGAGAAAGGGCAAGCATATGAACCACATCCACAAAAAGAAGTTTAGTGAGTTGCTATCACAGAAAATAGAAGGGGAAAAAATTATGAAAGTCCTTTATGATATAACCTTATGATATAGGAGGTCCTTCTGTCTTTGTGTTGTTTTCACTGGTTAATTAAAAAAACTGCTTTGGGCCTGTGGATAGGGCAGAACTTAGGTAGGTGGGGAAAACTAAATGGCATGCTGGGAGAAAGGAGGCAGAGTCAGAGAGAGACACCATGGATCCACCAGAGACAGACGCTGAAAATTTTACCTGGTAAGTCACTGCCATGTGGCAATACACAGATTAATAGAAATGGGTTAAATTAAGATGTAAGAATTAGCCAATAAGAAACTAGAGCTAATGGGCCAAGCAGTGTTTCAATTAATACAGTTTCTGTGTGGTTATTTTGGAGCTAAGCTAGCTGGGTAGCTGGGATGGACAAGTGAGCCCTCTCCTTGCAACACTTTTATTTTATTTTTTTTTTTTTACAAACAGTATTTGTCAAAGAAATAATGTACAAAAGTCTGTGACTTTGCAATAGCAGGAAGCTATGAAAGGAAGGCTATGAAAACTGAGCATGAGCTTTAATGTGGCTGTATGGCAGTTACACAAGGAAGAATCCAGACAGCAGCAATCAGAGGGCTCCTAATGCCGTGAATGCAAGTGTTCTTCCACTGCAGGACAGAGTATCTTCATCATTCCAGTCCATCATTGCTCTCAGTTACAAAGTCTTTCCTACTGTTTGTTTTCCCAAATGGGAGACTTTTTACTATTCTGTTTCTGATTTTATCATAAAATACTGGCAAGTGTAGGAGGGATGGGTGGAGCAGCCTGGTGTTTTATTTCTAGGTAACCGGACTTGCAGATCTCTCAGTGACCTAGGATTAAGGAAACACACAGAGGGTCCATTTAGTTTTTTAGTTTTGTTTTGATTTAGGAAGGGATGACACGTGTTTCTGACAGGTTACACATGGAACATATGATGGCTAGAGCAGCAGACTGGTGCACTGCATACCACTTCTTTCCTCTTTTCAAAGCCAAATGGTTAGCCAGTCCGAGACTGAGAACAATCTCTTTTGATGCCAAATTATTCTGCCCATGCAATGTGGTCAACCTGACCCTACTCATGGAATATAAACTGAAGTGACGCATGTCACATCTGCCTTACTTGTTTAAAAGGAAACTCTTTGCTCTGAACTTCACTTTCTTCCTTGTGTCTAGGCTGGAATACTTTTTTGATCACACAGATTAGGACTGGCAAAGACGGAAAGGACTACGGACCCCAGCGTCTGAGCTGTTCAGACGGCTCAGTTTTACAGTCTTGAGTCCTCTGACAGCAAATGCACGTATTCATACCTGGTCTATGCAGTCCTTTCCTAACTTCTCTGACCTCAACTCCTAGCAGGCTGCCCTCTCCAGTCATACCTAACTCCTTTCTATTCCTTAAGCATGCTAGATGGCCCAAAAGTTTTTGTATTTTTCCTCTCGAGCTCTCGTCCCTCCAGGTACATACATAAGTCACTCCTTTACCTTCTTCTTGGGCTAGACTCAAATATCAGCTTCTCAATTAGGCCCTGGCCACATCATCCTGCCACACCCTATTGGTTTCCTAAGCTCTTATGTCTCTTTAAAATATTAAAAACTTTACTATAGCAAGCTTTTTCATTGGCCATCTGCTCACAAACTAACAGAGACTTATTATTAATTATGAAAGTTTGGCCTTTAGCTTAGACTTGTTCCACTAGCTCTTATAACTCAATGCATTGATATTGATCATTGTTTATACTTCAAAGTTTTTTTTTTTAACCTTTCTTTCATTCTGTATGTCCGATTCCCTCCATGTCTCACTGGAGTCTCTCTGGAGTAATTCGCACACCTAGATTCCTCCTCCTTTTCCTCTCTCCCTGGAAATCCCATCTATCTCTCGTGCCTAGTTATTGGCCATTCAGCTCTTTATTAAACTAATCACAACAATAAATCTTCACACAGTATACAAATAACCTACAACACTTTACCTACTATCTTTTAAAAACAGGATGTCGCTAAATAGCCCAGGCTGGTCCTGAATTTCCAATCTGTCTACTTTTTCTAAATAACTTAATTGTAAGTAAATGGTACCAAATCCAGTCTTATTACTCTTTTATATCTAAAATATAAACTTCTATAAAAATGGGAAATTCTGGTTACTGTTTATTGAGCCATACCTATGGCCAAACACATAGAAGGTTCTCAAATTTAATTTAGGAAATATTTAAGATACTATTATTAAAGATTCCATGAACAGAAATCATTTTTCTCCTATCTAAAATAAACCAATTTGGAGAAAGGACTTATGATATGGATATATTGAAAACAGGCACCAATAAACAAGCACCTTTATTGGTGTATATTCAGAAGTTCCTCTACTCCAGTTCCTATATCCTGCTGTGCTTTTTGTTATGTTGCTGCTATCGCCTTTCCTTAAATCCTTCCCTTTTCACTAAGCAACTTTGAAAAGAAACATATAAATGTACAAATATGCCGATGAGGCTTATAAATCACTGTGACTGTCACTGTTACCCTCTAAAGCACAGGTGGTTGTATTTTAATGAATTGCGAAGAGGAAAAAAATAAAAGGTAAAGGGGCAAAAGGAAAAAGAAAAATTTAGGGTTCTCAGGGTCATTAAACATGTTTGTGATTCTCTTGTCACAAACTAGTCTCTTTCCACCTATGAAACGCTAAGCAAATGCTGCATGGCTCCTTCAATTCTTGCTGGCTCTCTGCAAGAGGAACCAAACATTTTCTGTGATCCTCAGTCCATCCTTGGTGGCAATTATTGGTGATATAAAATTTTCAAGAGGAAGCGGGAAACCTTTTTTTCCCCTCAAGGTAAAATCTTACTTTTAAAAGTTGTCAACTTTTTAAATAAGGACAAAAACTGTGCACTACAAGCCAAATTCAAAAAGTGCAAATTATTTCTATGAATCAACAAATTGATCTCTAATTTATACAGATTTTTATGACACTCACACAAAAAAAGTCCTAGCCTGTCCTTTCTCAAGAACTAAAGGAAGTGCTAGAAAAGACTTCTTTCTTTTGCTACAGTTATGCTTAGGGCATTCTCCAATGCAAGGACCTTTCCGCAGTTTTCACAAGCCATAAGCATCACAGCCTCTTGAACAGTCTAGGGCTGGCGCCGAGCCCATCAATTTAACCCTGGCCTCTGAAGCTATTAAAATCAGCTGACTTATCTGAGGCTAAACGGTTTACTCTTCTAGCCCTGGCAAAACAGAATGTAGAACTCAATAATCTGGAGGTCAATCAAACAATCCATTCTGCACGATTTCCTAAGTCACCAACAGATAATTCAGTTAAACAATCCACAAACCCTAATCCAGACAAGGAGATGACTCTAGTACGCAGTGAGAAATTTATGCCGAAAAGTTCTTACGGAGAAAAGAAAAGATTCCGCCACTCCTACCTAGTAAATCTGATAAGCA